CCTTACCTTAACTTAAATCGCGCTTCTGTTGGCGCGCTGTTGTCGGCGTGCTTTTGACATCGCGGTTTTAGCACCGCGGTTTTGTTGGCGCGGTTTTGTCGTTCGCGCATTTGTCGGGTCACGGTAACAAAGGAGTCAGGTGGAGCATTTCTGGTATCGACCACTCTGTTGCTGAAGTTGTATTTTCTGCAATCGAGTTTACCTTTAGTTTGTATGGATCGTTTGCCCATGTATTATTGTAGTTGAGGCTGAAGAAGTCCCTGACAGGTAAGACGTTGTAGCAGACAATTTTATGTACTATGCTTAGATCGGACCGCAGGTGGTGCAGTTCAAGATTGTCCAAACCCAGAATTTCGAGCCTGGTGGCATAAGGGAGTAGAGGAGTGGAGGACTCTCCTTGTGAAATACCTCTGGACCCGCTCAATTGTGTTAATGTTCAATAATACAGTGTGGGTTCCAGGCGGATGAGCTGTATTCAAGAATTGGCCTGGCAAAGGTTTTGTATGCCCCAGTTAGCAGTACAATGTCACTGGAGGTGAAGCTTCGCAAAATTAGGTTAACAACTCTTAATGCCTTTTTGGCAATGCTGTTATAGTGAGCTCCAGGGCTTAGATCATTTGAGATGAGTATTCCTAGGTCCTTGACAAAGTGAGGGTTATCTATGAGATCGTTTCCACCCAACTTGTATTTGGTGTTCTGATTATTATTATTTTTTGCCAATGTGCAGGAGAGAGCATTTATTAGTTGAGATTTGGAGTTGCCAAATGCGAGACGATTCTGACACATAGTCAAGGTCACTATGTAGGGCAGAAGCATTGTCAGTGGTGTTAAATAATTTTATGTCACCAGCGAAGAGGATACAGCTGCTTTTAATATGATTGCATAGGTCATGGATGTAAAGCAGAAAGAGTGTGGGTCCTAAAACACTGCCTCGGGGGACACCGCTGTTAACTGGTGCCAGATTTGATAGAGCCCTCCCTATTTTGACTATTTGTTGCCGGTTGGACAGGAATGCGGCTATCCACTAGTGCAGGGATCCAGAGATGGTGTAAGAACTTAGTTTCAACAGTAGTTTTGTTGTGTACCACTGAATCAAAGGCTTTACAGAAGTCTATGTACATTGCATCTATTGCTTTACCCTGGTTAAGATGTGTGCTCCAAATGTTTCTACAGTGTAGGAGTTGGAGATTACAGAGCAAATATTTTTCTAAAACCAAACAGCGTGTTAGATATCAAGTTATTTGTCTCTATGTGGAGGGTGATGGATTGGTTTATTGTTGAGTCCATAGCTTTACAGATGACACAATAATGTGCCTTTGACCCGGGAATGCTGCCAGATGGGCCATGCCATTGTTAACAGTCACTTGCTGGACAATTTTGCTAAATTTAGTTGACAGATCTATGTCATGCATTTTGACCCTGTGATAATTTAGTCAGCAAATAGCTATATTCGAAAACTGAAATAAGGGTGTCTTCAGAAACTGAATATGTAAATGCTTTCCCATTAATCTCTCAAACTCTGGCCTGGATTGAAAAAAAAACACTTATTGACTAATTTCCAGAAGGATTGGCAGATCAAGTTCTAGATGTACTAGCAAGAACAACTGAGTGTTCCAGCACATGCAGGAATTACTTCAGCTGTGTTGGTATTTGCATTGGGCATTGGCACCAGCAAAAGGTTAGAACTTGAGCGAGCAGGTTTGTTGTCAAATCTGTAGCACCTCTGCCTCACCTGATGAAACTTCTCATCACAAGACTTCCACTGATGACTCACACCTGACCCATCACAATGGGACGCTCTATGGGACGCTCACCTGACATGACTTTACCATCACAAGACCTATGACCACACAAAGCCCTTATAAAAACAGAAGAACACTGACATCCCTTAAACTCTGCTGACTATATTACCTAGCCAGGTAACACAATGCTTGGAAACCAACCTGCAAACTCAGAAAATCACCCTCACCTGCAC